TTTGGTTCCCTGAGCTCCTTATAAGAGACTCACCATCATAGTATCATAGTCAGGTGACTGGTTATTCACATCTAGAGCTGCATAAGTGTCACTGTGAGAATCGGTAGGACGTCTCTGTGGAGGCAAAATGTTACATTAAAGGGTTTTACTTTGTATTTGCATTAACTTACTGAAGATTTGATCCAGAATGACTATTTTATCCATTTCTGATATTTAACTGGAGAAATTCAGGTTTAATTCCTCATTAAAGGGTGCTACGCTGGGACCCTGACTACTGACTACTACAGGTCACTGACTACATGTATCTGACTACTACAAGTATTTGACTACAAGTCACTGACTACAAGTAATAGAGGATGTACAAATCACAGGTTTCCTTTTTATTTACATTTTTATACTGCTGAAAACTGTTTTGGAATTGAGGTCTGTACATGGTGATTCGGGTTTATGGGCTTGTAGTCCGACATACACTCCGACCAGAGGAGCTGACTGTTAATAGACCAGCAGTTTGGTTTTTCTATAAACATGGTCTTATTGCTGTTTCACTGAAAACCCTACATTACAGTCATATTACCTGAGCTCCTTCTCTCCTGTGACCTTCCTCACTCAGTAAACCAGTCTTCCTCCTAATAGACACAGTATCAAGGAGACCTTGAGTAGGAACATGGTACATGGACAAGGTAATGTGCAATAGATGTGGCCCAAGCAGTGATGTTCAAAAGCAGCCAATACAATTATGCTAATTATTACAGCTACAACAGCCAGTAGTGTCAAAGACTGGGATGGGGGGTTACCATGGTGACAAAGGGGTCACGTTGAGTACTGAGGGAGCTCTGCTAACCAGCTAACTGGAGCCCAGTTAGGCTAACTGGTTAGAGGTGGTGAGCTGTGAGGATACAGGGAAGGGAAAACAGCGAGAACTGGAGAGAGAAGGGGGGCTCTTGGGGTGGGGGGGGCAGCTGAGGGCAGGCATCACCCTGGGTTTCTGCTTGGTACACTGGCTTTGCTTATGTTAATTTAGGGGCTTCTTTGGTGACATATGTGTGCTTGTGTCGATGAGCATGATGATCGCAGAGAGGATGATGGGAAGCCAGATACCCGAGTCTCGGAATAAACTGTAAAATCAATCAATGACAAATATCACAAATCATTTTAAAAACCATACATTATTTTACAGTGAATGAATAATAAAACACTCACCTCATTATGCAGATTGTTACAGCTAAAACAGCCAGTAGTATCCCCAGACACACTAGTATCACTGTCATTAGGTTACTTTCAGCTGAAAAGGCACAGACACATTGTAATAAGGGAATCCAGTGTAAATATGTGCTGTATCAATAAAACGTGCATGTTAATCAAGCACGTTTCATGGACATTTTATTCATGGACATTTTATTCTTCTGCCTTAATCTAAGTAACTGTTACTCCTAATTCTGTTTTATGGGTATTTCTATGCATTTTTGAGCATTTTGGACAAAATTTTGAGAATGTTGTTGATTTCCAGGATCAGACTACATACTCACATTGAATATTAAGAATATTAAGTATAATGGTATTGGACACAATCCCTCTGTCTCCTTTCAATGCACAGGAGTAATTTCCAGAGTGATTATAGGAGACGGGGTTGAAGTGAATTGTGGGCAGTGTGTCTGTGATCTGCTGGTTGCCCTTAAACCAGGTGAATTCTGATTGGCTGAGAGAGCAACTCTCTGAGCCACATGTCAGATTCACAGAGTCTCCTTCTGCCAATAATCCCTTTCCTGCAGATGAGGTCACCATCACCTTTAATTCTGAAATCATACCCAGAAGAACAAGCAATAGGGTTTTTCTGCATTACTGCGTGAGGTATTTCTGTCACAGACTCTAACAACATGGCAAATCCTACAGCTGTAAATCAGCATTATTGTTCAGAGCCACATGTTATGCACTGAATCACAGTAGCTTCTCACTGCTATAATCTCCTTGCTGCTACACATGTTCTTCTCAGAGCTGCTATTCTCCTGTTCATTAATGAGCCCCGTCAGCAGTATCTGACTCAGTAATTTCTAAATGAAAATAAGCATAGAATACAAACATTCTGGTTATGCTGTGTGATACAAAAATAAGGTGAAAGTGCCGGACAGTACAGACTCACCACCGACTCGCAGTTCTACTGCAGGCTGAGCACACAGTTCACACCTATTAGCTGTGAAACTGAATCTATACAGTCCAGCATCAGTGTCTGTAATGTTCTTTATCATTAATGTACAGTTGTTCTCTGTGTTCCCCAAGACCTCTGCCCTGTCTCTGTACTCAGCACCAATGTTCATTTTATAACTCTTACTGTGCCAGACATATAATTTTCCAGCACAGTCCTCAGTATTATGGCTCCACATCATCGACTCCACTCTGTATGACTCTGGATGATTAAATCGACAGCGAATGACCACAGTCGATCCTCTCACTGCACACAGGGTTTTCTCTGCATAATCTACAGACCATGCACCAACTAGAACCCACAAAACGCAATGAAAAGTTATTTCAGTCTTATTTGCTTCATTAAGTAAGAAAGAGAAGAGAAACAGTTTTTAATAGTGGGGCACCGTATCTCATTTCCTTCACTGGCAGGGCACCCTTCAGAGGTAACCTTCCCCCCATTACAAGGGCAATTCATCATGTTTTCTTACTTGGAAGGGCACCCCAGAGGGAATCATTTTCCTCCAATAGAAGGGCACTTCATAATGTCCCCCTTTTCCATTGGAGGGGCACCCATAGGGGCTGTTTAGACCTTTGAAAGGGCACCTTATTGGGCATCACATTGCATTTGGTTCACTAGATAGGCACTCATTAAGACACCACATCACATTTTCTCTACTAGATAGGAACTCATTAAGATACCACATCACATTTTCTGTACTAGAAAGGCACTCATTAAGACACTACATCACATTTTCTCTACTAGAAGGGCACTCATTAAGATACTTCATCACAATATCTTACTCTATAGAGCACATCATCTCACATGAAAGTGGCACCCTACATGGCACTAAGCCTTGTGAAGTGCAGCCAATAGCATATTTTCACCACTCTAAAGGCTACTTTAACATTTGAGTATGTTTTTTCAGTCATGGGGACACCAGGGGGCCGGTGGCTGCCCCCCCTTAGTTAGTCCACCATTGGCTAAAATGTTATGTTTGATGATATCTGTCACGTTTGACAAGCGGGCGAGCGGAGAAGCAGGCGAGCAGAGCCGTAAATGCGGACAGACGGGGTTTATTCGTAGGGTGATCGAGGCACAGAGCAAGGAACAGCACATAACAATAACAATACAATGACGGATCTGGGGGATAGTGGGAGACGCAGACTAATATACACAGGACAGGTTAGAATTAACTAGACATAGGTGGAAACAATCAGGAGTCGACATGAGGTAATGAGGGGCGTGGCACACACGAGGATCGTTTGGAGCCGAACGTGACAATATCATTGGCTGGAAATATTTTCAACAAGACTTACCATCGACTTTTAGAATCGCTCCATCCTGACCAGTCCATTGTCCACCTGCCTTATAGGTTGTAAACTTGAATCTATACACTCCAGCATCAGCGTCTGTAATGTCCTTTATCTGTAATGCACAGTTCTTCTCTTTGTCCCCCAAACACTCTGCTCTGTCTTTGTACTGACTACTGACATTTATATTGTTATTGTGACAGACGTATTGTGTGTCTCTGCAGTCATTATGATTATGACACCACATGAATGTGTCAACTGTGTAACTCTCTGGATAATTCTTTGGATAATCATACCCACAGGGAATGACCACAGTAGATCCTCTCACAGCACAGACTGGATTCTCTGGGTACCATACAGCCCATTCGCGACTCATGACCCCTGGAAAAGAGCAATTATAAAAAACAACCTCAGTGTCAGTTTTCGAAACAGGGAACCTTGGGACCGGCCACCAAAGAGAAAAGCATTTCTTTGCCATATATATCAACACAGAGAATCAGACTGGATTCATGACCTAGAGTTGGGGTTCCCACCCCCCAGTCTGCGGTCAGTATTCTACCTAGAGTTGGGGTTCCCAGCCCCAGTCTGCGGTCAGTATTCTACAAGCGCGGATCCCTGGAGGTTTGCGGAGGGGTTGGTTAATTTCCCAAAATAAATGATATACTCTTAGTTAACATCTGAAAAAATCACCAATGGTTACAAAGGCAGGAGCTACTGGACAATCAGAACAGAATGAATAATTTTTCTGTATTTTTGCATTTTCACATTGCGAGAAAAGAAACACAAATATACTTTCCTGTGAATATTTAAAATATTATTATATCTGAACCAGAACTGGTTTTCAGAAAGGCAGTGTCTGTCTTTATGGCTAAATGCAGTTATTTCCACGTAAATATATGTTTTTTGGTTTTTATATATTTATATTTATGCTCCCCTAATCTTTGGTCCACACATCAAAATACAAGCAAAAATTTTTTAACTAGTTTGGAAGCCAAACTAATCTAATAATGAACATACAGGACACCGGAAGCTACCAGGCCCATATTAAACAGCAGAAATGCAGGAATTTATAAAAATCCAAACAGACGATCAATGTCCGACTCGCCAGACGTGTGCTCTGTCAGCCGCCTGCTCCATTTTACACCCCCGCTGACAGCGGATGCTGCAGTAACGTGATGACGATGAGGAGATGAGGAATGAGCCAAACTGATAATGACAGGGCTAGACATAAGGATTTAGGAGGGCACAGCCACTTTGGCCTTGGCTATTCATATTTTTTCTAGGGCACAAGGCCATTAAGCCTGGGCACAAGGCCAAAATCTGGAGTAAAAATGTTTTTTCATTTATTTAAATTTCATAGGACACCTCGGGCCTTGTGGAGGAATTTTATTTCCATAAAGGATGCATTTNCACTCATTAAGATACCACATCACATTTTCTCTACTAGAAGGGCACTCATTAAGACACCACATCACATTTTCTCTACTAGATAGGCACTCATTAAGATACCACATCACATTTTCTCTACTATAAGGGCACTCATTAAGACACCACATCACATTTTCTCTACTAGATAGGCACTCATTAAGATACCACATCACATTTTCTCTACTAGAAGGGCACTCATTAAGATACTTCATCACAATCTCTTACTCTATAGAGCACATCATCTCTCATGAAAGTGGCACCCTACATGGCACTAATCCTTATGAAGTGCAGCCAATAGCATGATTTCACCACTCTAAAGGCTACTTTAGCATTTGAGTATGTTTTTTCAGTCATGGGGACACCAGGGGGCTGGTGGCTGCCCCCCCCCCCTTGGTTAGTCCACCATTGGCTAAAATGTTATGTTTGATGATATCATTGGCTGGAAATATTTTCAACAAGACTTACCATCGACTTTTAGAGTCACTCCATCCTTACCAGTCCATTTTCCATCTGTCTTATCGGTTATAAACCTGAATCTATAGACTCCAGTATCAGCGTCTGTAATGTCCATTATCTGTAATGCACAGTTCTTCTCTTTGTCCCCCAAACACTTTGCTTTGTTTTCGTACTGACTACTGACATGGTCATTATTACTGTGACAGACGTATTGTGTGTCTCTGCAGTCATTATCATTATGACACCACATGAATGTCTCTACTTTGAAACCCTCTGGATAATCATACCCACAGGGAATGACCACAGTAGATCCTCTCACAGCACAGACTGGATTCTCTGGGTACCATACAGCCCATTTGCGACTCATGACCCCTGGAAAAGAGCAATTATAAGAAACAACCTCAGTGTCAGTTTTCGAAACAGGGAACGTTGGGACCGGCCACCAAAGAGAAAAGCATTTCTTTGCCATATATGTCAACACAGAGAATCAGACTGGATTCATGACCTAGAGTTGGGGTTCCCACCCCCCAGTCTGTGGTCAGTATTCTACCTAGAGTTGGGGTTCCCACCCCCCAGTCTGTGGTCAGTATTCTACCTAGAGTTGGGGTTCTCACCCCCCAGTCTGTGGTCAGTATTCTACCTAGAGTTGGGGTTCCCACCCCCCAGTCTGTGGTCAGTATTCTACCTAGAGTTGGGGTTCCCACCCCCCAGTCTGTGGTCAGTATTCTACCTAGAGTTGGGGTTCCC